ATATATACCAATATTTGTTTATTCATTCACCTGTTGATGGACATTCCTTTTCAATTTGGGGTTATTATGAATAAATGTGCTATAAATATTCATGTTCTTTGGGTTTATCAATGTTTGTTTTTGTTGGTTAATACTGAGGAGTGGATTTGATGGATTGTTTTTAAATATATGTTTAAACTCATGAGAAACTACAAAAGAGTTTGCTAAGGTGGTTGCAATATATTACATTCTCATCAGTGATGACAGTTCCAAATGATCCACATCCTTACCAACACCTGGTAATATCAGTCTTTTAACTGTAGCCACTCTAGAGAATATGTGGTGGTATCTCATGATGGTTTTAATTTCCATTAGTCTAATGACTAATGTTTTAAGCATGAAAACATTTAAACATTCCACAGGCTTATTCCCAATTTGTATGTTTTATTTGGTGAAGTTCTAGTTGAAAGGTCTTGTCCATGTTTTCATCAGAATGTCTTATTGGGTTTTAAGAGTTTCTTATATCTTCTGGGCACAAGTGTTTTGTCAAATATGTGAAGTGACAGCTGTGGTTCGCTTTTACTTTCTTAAAAGTTTCTTTCAAAAATTTAAGGTTTTTATTTCAAAGAAGTTAAATTCATCATTGTTTCATATATTGTTTATTCTTTTATGTATCACGTAAGATTTTTTTGTCTACACCAAGTTGCAAAGATTTGTTCCTATACTTTCTTCTAGAAGATTTAGAGTTTTGGCTTTTCTTTTTAAGTATATAGCTCTAGTACAAATTCAAATAGAATATATCAGTAAGAGCAGACATCCTTGCCTTGTTCTCCATCTTACAGGATAAGCATTTAGTTTTTCACTGGTGTCCTCTCCCCTGTAGAAATTTTGTAAATGCCCTTTATCAGTTTGAGAAAGATTCCTTCTTTCTTTGCTAAGAATTTTTTTTATGATTGTGTGCTAAACATTCTCAAACTCTTTTGCTACATTATTTGGTTTAGATATGTGTCCTCTCCAAATCTCATGTTGAAATGTGACCTCCACTGCTGGAGGTGGGCCCCAAGGGGGGGTCATGGGAGCGGATTCCTCATGAAGAACTCTTTCCATCAGTAATGAATTCTCCTTAAAGAGCCTGGCAGCTCCTCCCTCCAGCTCTTGCTCCCCCTTTGCCTTCTGCCATGATTGTAAGCTTCTTGAGGCCTCACCAGAAGCAGATACTGTTGCCCTGCTTCTTGTACAGCTTGCAAAACCATGAGACAATTTTTTTTTTTTTTTGAGACGGGGTCTCGCTCTGTCCCCCAGGCTGAAGTGCAGTGGCCGGATCTCAGCTCACTGCAAACTCCCCCTCCCAGGTTCATGCCATTCTCCTGCCTCAGCCTCCCGAGTAGCTGGGACTATAGGCGCCCGCCACCTCGCCCGGCTAGTTTTTTTTATTTTTTAGTAGAGATGGGGTTTCACCGTGTTAGCCAGGATGGTCTCAATCTCCTGACCTCATGATCCGCCCGTCTCAGCCTCCCAAAGTGCTGGGATTACAGGCTTGAGCCACTACACCTGGCCTACCATGAGACGATTAAACCTCTTTGTAAATTACCCAGCCACAGGTTTTTCTTTATGGCAACACAAAGTGGACTAACACACTACTTCTATTGATATCATCATGTACCTTTTCTCCTTATACTGCTAAAATGGAAATTTACATTGATTAATATTCAAATGCAAACCAATCTTGCATTCCTGGAATAAACCCTACTTGCTCATTACGTGTCATTATTTTTATGTAGTACTAGATGTGCTTTATAAATATTTGAATACATATGTTTGTGTCTAGGTTTATAAGGGATATCAGTCTGCAACTTTCTTATGAAGTTTTTATTTTAATTTTTGTATTATGGCAATGCTGGCCAGAGAAAGTAAATTGAGAAATCTATCATCCACTAATTTCTTCAAGATTTTGTGTAGGATTTACTTTTCTCCTTCCATAAGGGCTTGATAGATTACATCAGTGGTTCCACCTGGGTCTAGGGATAGGCGGGAGCATTAGCTACAAATTCAATTTATTTAATTAACATTGGGCAATCTAAATTTTCTTTTTATGCTTCAGCTATTTTGGTAATTTGTATTTGTCATGGAATTTGTCTATTTCAACTAAATTTTAAAATACAGTGGCATAAATTTGTTTATAATATTTTCATTTTAACCTTTAGTGTCTGTAGTATACATACACACAACTCTTACACTTTCAATATTGGTACTTTGTATTTTCTCTCTTCTTATAATGCTTTCATCTACTAAAAAAGAAAATCCACAGTATATGAAAGGTGTTGTTGGATTATGCCAAATAAAACGAAAATTAGGACTATTTTGTTGTTATTTCAATGTGGAATCTTTTACTTGAATTCTAGTATTGAACCACCTCAGAACTGAAGTATTGCATGATTTTAATAAAACTGAATATGCTTTACACACTTTAGTGAGAGATTATTTTAAACATCATTCAGATATCTTGGTAACCCTACAGAAAATGAATTGAGCATATATATATATTTTTTCCCTCAAATGTTATTTTAATTCAGGGATACATGTGCAGGATGTGCAGGTTTATTTCATAGGTAAACATATGCCACGATGGTTTGTTGCACCTGTCAACCTATAACCTAGATATTAAGCCCAGCATCCATTAGCTATTCTTCCTGATGCTCTCCTTCCCACCTTACCCCTGCTCCTGACAGGCCCCAGTGTGTGTTGTTCCCATCCATGTGTCCATGTGTTCTCATCATTCAGCTCCTACTTGTAAGTGAGAACACGCAGTGTTTGGTTTTCTGTTCCTGTGTTACTTTGCAGAGGATACTGGCTTCCAATGATCCATGTCCCTGCAAAGGACATAATCTCATGCCTTTTTAATGGCTGCATAGTATTCCATGGCATATATTTACCACATTTTCTTTATCCAGTCTATGATTGATGGGCATTTAGGCTGATTATACATTTTTGCTATTGTGAATAGTGCTGTAATGAACATATGCATGCGTGTATCTTTATAATATTAATATAATGGTTTTTATTCCTTTGGGCATATACCCAGTAATGGGATTGCTGGGTCAAATAGTATTTCTGCCTCTAGGTCTTTGAGGAATTGCCACACTGTCTTCCACAATGGTTGAACTGATGTACATGCCCAAAAAGAGTTTGAAAGTGTTCCATTTTCTCCACAACCTCACCAACATCTGTTGTTTCTTGACTTTTTAGTAATCACCATTCTGACTGGGGTGGGATATCTCACTGTGGTTTTGATTTGTTTTTCTCTAATAATCAGTGATGTTGAGCTTCTTTCCATGTATTTGTTGGCTGCATGTCTGTCTTCTTTTGAGAAGTGTCTGTTTATGTCTTTTGCCCACTTTTTAATGGGGTTGTTTGTTTCTTGTAAATTTGCTTAAGTTCTTTGCAGACTCACTCTGGTTATTAGACCTTTGTCAGATGGATAGATTACAAAAACTTCCCCCATTCTGTAGGCTGTCTGTTCACTCTGATGATAGTTTCTTTTGCTGTGCAGAAGCTCTTTAGTTTAATTATATTCCGTTTGTCAATTTTTTGCTTTTGTTGCAATTGATTTTGGAGTTTTCATCATGAAATATTTGCCTGTGCCTATGTCCTCAATGGTATTGCCTAGATTTTCTTCTAGGTTTTTTATAGTTTTGGGTTTTACATTTCAGTCTTTAATTCATCCTGAGTTAATTTTTGTATGCAGCATAAGGAAGGTGTCCAGTTTCAGTTTTCTGCATATAGCTAGACAGTTCTCCCAGCACCATTTATTAAATAGAGAATATTTTCCCCATTGCTTATTTTTGTCAGGTTTGTCAAAGATCAGATGGTTGTAGGTGTGTGGTCTTATTTCTAAGTTTTCTCTTCCATTTGTCTGTGTGTCTGTTCTTATACCAATATCATGCTGTTTTGATTACTGTAGCCTTGTATTATAGTTTGAAGTTGGGTAGTGTGATGCCTCCAGCTTTGTTCTTTTTGCTTAGGATTGACTTGGCTATTCAGGCTCTTTTTTTGGTCCCATATGAATTTTAAAATACTTGTTTTTTCTAATTCTGTGAAGAATGTTAATGGGAGTTTAATGGGGATAGCATTGAATCTATAAATTACTTTGAACAGTATGGCCATTTTCATGATATTGATTCTTCCTGTCCATGAACATGGAATGTTCTTCCATGTGTTTGTGTCATCTCTGATTTCTTTGAGCAGTGGTTTGTAGCTCTCCTTGAAAAGATCCTCCAATTCCTTTGTTAGCTGTATTCTGAGGTATTTTATTCCTTTTGTAGCAATTCTGAATTGGAGTTCATTCATGATTTGGCTCTTGGCTTGCCTGTTGTTGGTGTATAGGAAGAGCATATGTATTTTTAAATTCTGCTTTACATTTTTGAAATAAAATGCAAAATATTTTTGTCAGTTTTCATAGCACAAGCATTTAGCATGCATGTATTTCTCTTTAAGTGTTTGACTTTCAATATTTAAAATTATATTGCTTGTTATTTGAAGAAAGTTCTCAGACTACTTAATGAATTTACATAAGCTGTTTGGCAATAGTATAACCAGGGACTTCTGCTAAAAGAGACTATTGCAATGATAAAATAAAGTGCATATTTTCTTTAAGGACTAATGTTTCAGTAATTCCACAAGAAAACTAAAGACCCCAATTAAATGTTTTTAAGTTTAACTTTTACATATTTTCATAATGAGATCAAAAGAGGAGCTGGAGTTTGGGGTTGGAAAAAGAAAATCATTCTATGTTCAAATGACTGCAATGTGCATAAGCTATGTCATGCAGGGGTGAAATTAAATCAATAATTTTCAAGTTCGTCATCTCATGTAATGCATACATATACATGAGAATCAGACTTGTTATTCTGCTATTATTAAATGACATGGAAAAGAAAATATTTAAAAACTTTCTGCCATTATCTCATTTCTCTTGCAAATTTGGTGACATACAATAAAAATATGTACTTTTTCCTCCACAGGACCTGATTGGGGATTTGAAGGAGCAACTTTCAGATCACTTCAAAGATGTGATGGTTGGCCTCATGTACCCACCACCACTGTATGATGCTCATGAGCTCTGGCATGCCATGAAGGTAGTGATCTGATCCAAAAATATACCTGTAGCAAGTACAGGCCAGTATTTCAATTGTGATGCTCCTACATACTTATATGATCAAGGAGAGGGGAGGGAATATCTAAGCAACGATGTAACAATGGAAATGTTGTGGTCAAGGGAAGTGGCCTTGTTAGGAAGCTGGAGCCTCCCAGGCTCAGTGGCTGGGATCAACCTGTTCTTTTGTTGTACAGAGTCACAAACTTACTGAACCAGCCCCAAGGCTGACCTCCAACAAGGAAAAGGGAACAAGCCTCCAGGGCTATTCAGATTGGTCCCTGAGTATGTATTCCTATATTGAGGAGAATGTATTAAAAATGATGTGACTCTTGTTACATTATTTGTAAAAGTTTGATTAAGTCAAAAGAAGATATTGAATCAGGGACAATATATAGATGACATCTTTATATTTTCTTCATATGACCTGAAGCTCATTCTTTATAGAAACAGTTTTTTTTTTTTTTTTTCTCAAATGTATAAAAATTTTAATTCGGAAGAATTAGAATCAGTGTTTCTTAAAGGAAAGCCATTTCCATGAAATAAGTTGACTGTGGATTTTTTACAGATTTTGTTGGCTAGGGACAGGGAACAAAGAGGGCCTTGGCTTTACTTCTTTCCAAATGCAGATATTAAACACCTGCAGAACTGTTGAAATCATTCCAGTGTGATGCTTGCCAATGACCAGATTACCACAATCTGTGAACAATGTGTGACAGAAAAGAGGCAACAGGAAAAAATTAAAGGACATGGATTTTGGCCATCATATTTACTGATCCAAATAGGCATTGTACAAAAAGTATATGAATTTTAACTAATCGCTTTTAACAAACGTTGCATGTCAATTCCTACCTCTTGCAAAATTACATATCTAAAAATTATTTTAAAAATAAAGTTATATGTTGCTGTTTGATTAAACAAGTGTATTTTATCAATATTTCATAGAATGCTAAGGATTTCTGAGGCTTTCCTAAAAAAGGTGTGTTGTCTTTAGATCACTTTCACAGACCAATATGTGCATATGTCTGCAAGAGACCACAGAAAGCGTCCTTCGAAATATTTACGCAAATTGTACAAAATTCCACATCTAGAGAGGCAGCCACAGGTCCTTAAAATATTCTTGGCAAATTAGAAAACCTGTATGCTAATGTCAGCCTGCTAAAGAATTAATATTGCAGCAGCAAATGGAATATCAAATATCATTTCAACAGCAAATGGAAATGCTCAGTGCCATGAGCATTGCTTGAACATGTCTTCCTCTGCATTGTTTAGAAATGCTCATACTGTTGTATTCTAAATGAAGAAACAGAGTTTCCTTCAGATAATATTAATTCTTCAGGATGAAATAGGTAGTAAATGGCAAAGTTGGAACTAAGATTGTGCCTACCTTCATCCCAAACAACTTCCTTTCCCCTGCCACCTCTCAAAACACTGGAAAGGCTGTATCCCTTTCATGTACAAAAGGTGCGCTATTACTCCCAGTAAGAATATCCTTACATTTATCTCTTTTTTTCCTTTCTCTAGGGAGTAGGCACTGATGAGAACTGCCTCATTGAAATACTAGCTTCAAGAACCAATGGAGAACTTTTCCAGATGCGAGAAGCCTACTGCTTGCGTAAGGAAATATATATATGTGAATGTATTTTACACATATATGAACTTTATAACACGTTGAATATTCCAGTTTCTGTATTTTGAAGAATTATCTAAGACATTCTTACATTTAACATAGGATTCACTGAGGACCAATTAACTCATGAGGTAAAATTGATTATTAGTGCACTAAAAATGAAACAGTTCCCTAGACAATCAAGCTAAGCAAATTTTCCAGGAAAATCATTACAAATCTCTATAAGGTGAATGTTTTCATTAAGACAGGAAAGTGCCCCACACTTGAATTCAGGGCGTATTTCATCTCTTACCCAGGAAAGACCCAGCATATAGAAAAAATAAAGTACAATAATGGCTCAGTGAATTCTACAAATACATCTGCTTCGCTTTACATAAATTTCACGTTCCTGTAATCTACCGCAAAAGCAGATTTTTATACGTTTCAAAAGTAGAAAAGGTAACTCTTTTCACTTTCAAAAAGGTATAATGCCTTAAGTTCCATTGCATTATGTACTCTGTGACACTGTGTGTCAAGAAAATGTTGCGGACAGTCATCTCTATTGCATTCAAACAAAAACAAGACTTTTCTGAAGGGAATGAAGTCAGAACTTTCATTAAAATGTTAAAACGAGATGAAGCACTTAGAAAATGTGTTGGGCTGGGCAGCAGTCTATGGAAATAGAATGCATAACACTGTATTTTGAGAATCAGAGAATGTGAAATGACTCTCGATCCTGTTTTTCAATTTTGGAATAAAGATTTTTAAAAAACAGTCCTATGCTTATGTTACCATTAGGTGACAGAATTCTTTGGCAGACAGTTTATTAACAAAGAAATGTCAACAGGTGGACTACATTTCCTGGACTTTGTACTCACAACTGGGAAATAACATTAACTTATTCAAAACACATTGATATATAGTTCCATAATAAATCATACCTTTAATGTGTTTCCTTATGCAGAATACAGCAATAACCTCCAAGAGGACATTTATTCAGAGACCTCGGGACACTTCAGAGATACTCTCATGAACTTGGTCCAGGTATAGCATTCCAAAATTTACACCACTTTGCACTCTCTAAGAAAATAGGTATATGTCATTGCAAAAAGAAAAGAACAGAAAACTCCAGTATATTACAGTTCAACAGTAAATTCTGTGTAGTAACATTTACTGAAGCCATGTTCAAAGTACTCAACTAGAAATTTAAGTTGTTAAAGACAAGTATGGATAATGCATCAGCTCTATTTTCAAAAAATTAAAAATATATTCTAAAGACATTATAAATATACATGTATGTATAACATATGTATAATTAATTATATATTCTGAGAAAATTAAAAGATTAAAAATATTACAGTTAAAATTAATAATTCTAATTAGAAATAATGTCTTTCTTTTTTTTTTTTGAGATAGTCTCGCTCTGTCGCCCAGGCTGGAGTGCAGTGGCATGATCTCAGCTTGCTGCAACCTCCCCCTCCTGAGTTCAAGTGATTCTCCTGCCTCAGCCTCCCACGTAGCTGGGAGTCCAGGCACGTGCCACCACACCCAGATAATTTTTGTAGTTTTAGTAGAGATGGGGTTTTGCCATGTTGGCAAGGCTGGTCTCGAACTCCTGACTTCAGGTGATCTGCCTGCCTTAGCCTCCCAAGGTGCTACGATTACAGGTGTGAGCCGCCATGCCCAGCCTTAGAAATAATTTCATTATTAAAACTGCTACATGAGTTTAGGGCACACTAACATTTCTGAGCTCCTACAATGTGCCTAGTACTGTGTGAGGAGAGAAACAATTTTCTCATTTAATAACAAAACACTATAATATAAATATTCTCATAAGTACTTCAGAAAAGAATAATCAAAATGTATAAAGTTCTAGCTCTATGATTGTCTAAAGAGCTAATAAGTAGAAATCCAGAATTTGGTTGAATGGTAGAGACTCTGAAAGCCAGCATATGATCTTCAATGCAGCCTATAAAAATTCTATGGTATTATACATTACCAAAAAGAAACATTAAGTTAAAAATAGATTTTATCATTTATGTTTCTGTACTGACTAAATGATATATATTTCCATTTAATGACTATTTCTTGAAAATATTCCACATATTAGCATTGTAATACAAACAATATTTTTAAAGATATAATTATCTCCTGTTTTATACATATTCTCCAATATACCTGCTATCCTATTTAACAAAGGCACTCAGGAATGCAAAGAGAGAGAATCAGTGTTCAGCTCTTAATTTCTAAAAGAGAAACTCGAAGGCCACAGTTGAGGAAAATGTCTTAAAAGCTGGAATTTTTGTTTGGTTTTGCATTTCGTATGCGTGTGTGTGTGTGTGCATGTGTGTGTGTTTGAAATGAAACAAGAGTTTCTAAACCCCCAAACCTTTCCTTTACACATCAAAGGCATAGTAGTTAGCAAAGAATTAGTAGACACCAAAGAATTTCACTAAAACCAAGAAGTCGATAGAATTTCGTACATGGGAACATGAAATTAGAAAAGAATGCATGAAAGCCTTTTTAGTGAGAACAAAGCTGGAAGAGTAGGACCGAGGAGAGAGAAAGGTCTATAATCCAGGTGGAGGCAACTAGAGTGAGAATCCTGCCTAAAGCCCTCAGGAACCCAGAGTCCCACACTCTTAGGCGAGGAGTTACAATCACCAGATGAAAATACAAGATAGATCATTGTCTATTCTTTCTCCCTTTTCTCTGAACTACTCCAGTGTCAACTGTCTCCATGAATTCTCGGATTTGTTTTTAATCTAAACTTTTCTGTGGCTACTGTTGATAAACTCTGAGAAGTCCTTCCCTGTCCTTTATCCTGCTTGGCTTTATCTGAAGAGGTGCTTTGGAGAACAGACAGTCCTCAGTCCCTGAATTTTTATGGTCTAACTTATCTACTTCATGGTACCTTTCTACTTTATGATGGTGCAAAACTACTGCAATTTTCACATAATAGTTGATATTCCATAAATTATGTGAGATATGTAACACATTTTATTGTAAAATAGGCTTTATGTTAGATGATTTTGCCCAACTGTAGGCTGTTGCAAGTGTTCTGAGCACATTTAAGGTAGGCTAGGCTAAGCTATGATGTTCAATAGGTTAGGTGTATTAAATGCATTTTTGACTTGGGATATTTTAATTTACAATGGATTTATCAGGATGTAACCCCATCATAAGTCTAGAAGCCTCTCTATATCCTTGAAGGTTGTACCACTTTCATAGCAGCTCAACTTTGGCAAATTTAGAGTCCTCACATTTTGTTTATAGCATACGTTATCAATGTTTCTTTAATCTGGGTTTGTAATGTCTTTGAAAATGAGGCTCTCTTAAAAACTTAGAAGAGTTGTGATCTACTTGCTTTTGGTTAGGTCCATTTACCACTTAACCGCATGCAAAGTTCTTTCCTAGATATATTTCTACAGTATGACTTTGCATCCCTGCTCCCTCATTTATGCCTTTTTTATTTTCACAACTCAAAAACATTTCCTTGAAGGATCTCTCAGAAAGTAAAACTGGCTGGGTATTACTAGAGGGCTGAGTCATAAAAGACCCTTACTTTTCAAAACCTCTTCAAGTCTCAGCTTACATTGCTTGGAATCAGTAAGTGGTTTCTCTTTCTAACTCTTCAAGGCACCAAATTTCTAAACTTTTTCTCTTCTCCCTTGTGTGTCTGCTTGCAAACTAGCCAGTTACTTACTGAGCTCATCTCTTTCTTGTAATAGATGACTAAAAGCATAAAGTAAATGCCATTTCTCAAGCTCACAGGAAGACCAGAACAGGTGCTACCAATCAGAGTGCATTTCCCTTCCAAGAAGTGATCCAGAGACTTGGTCTCTTTCCACCGTTACTACTGGCTTTTAAGTTTATCATGTCTGTCTTCAACCCAGGGAAGCAGAAAGAGAATAGAGGTTTCTTCATGGAAGTGTTTATGAGCCTTGTTGCAATGCATACCCATTTCTGCTCAAGTATCATTGGCTAAACCCTCATTCAAGTAGGCCTACTTAATATCAAGGGTAGTGAAGTTATTTGTCTTCAAGGAAGTTGAAATGAGTTTTACAATCTGTAATTAGAGTATTTTTACTTCTTTTTTTTTTTTTGAGACGGAATTTTGCTCTTGTCACCCAGGCTGGAGTGCAATGGTGAGATCTCGGCTCACTGCAACCTCTGCCTCCCAGGTTCAAGTGATTCTCCTACCTCAGCCTCCCGAGTAGCTGGGACTACAGACACGCGCCACCAAGCCCAGCTAATTTTTTTATTTTTAGTAGAGATGCGATTTCACCATGTTGGCCAAGATGATCTCAGTCTCTTGACCTCTTGATCCTCCCGCCTCAGCCTCCCAAAGTGCTAGGATTACAGGCGTGAGCCACCACGCCTTTCCAATCAGTGTATTTCAAAGCTGTGAAAGAGAATTGAACATTGCAACCAAGAAATACAAATGGGTAACAGAAGATGGTAAAGACATATTTGTCAATAAATAGAAAACTTTTGATGATGACTATATTAGGCCCAAATAGAATTTCTAAAAGGGAAGCATATATAAACAAAGGGAAAAAAACACAAAATGCACTGCATTCCTTCTTAAATATACTTTAAAAAGGAAAATGTCTTTGTATTTGTATCCATGCTTTATGTTTTTGAACATGTCTTTACTGTGCCACCATTTCCAATAATCTTGTTCCTACTTTTAATCTCACTTTTAGAGTGATGTTTATTATATTATCAAAAAGGAAATAAAAATATATAAAGAGCAAAAATATGCAATTTTAATCTGAATACATCAGATTAAAACATTTTATTATATAAAATGTATAGAAATATGTTACATATATATCATATTTCTATATAATTAATCCTACCATTAATAATTCATTTCTAGGAGACAAATAAAAGGCCAAAGATGAGGCTATATTTTAATTTTTTATTCCTTCTGTTTTGTTTTTGCCATTAAGTATGTTTTAAAATATGAAGCTAAACATTTATCGATATAACATAGTTTTTCTTCTGCTAGAGTTTGCATGCGTCTGTCCCCCAAACTTCATGTTGAAATGTGATCCCCAGTGCTGAAGGTGAGGTCCAGCGAGGGGTGTTTGGGTCATGAGGATGGAGCCCTCATGAAGAGCGTGATGCTGATTCTCATTGTAATGAGCAAGTTCTCACCCTATCAGTTCCCAGGAGAGCTGGTTGTTAATGAGAGCCTGGCATTTTCCTCCTCTTGCTCTTGCTTTCTATCCTCACCACGTGATCTCCGCACATGCCAGCTCCCCTTCACCTTCCATTACGAGTGGAAACAGCCTGAAACCCTCAGCATTAGCAGATGCTGCAGCCACGCTGCTTGTACAGCCTGCAGAGCTGTGACCCAAATAAACTCATTTTCTTTATAAATTGCTCAGCCTCAGAAATTCCTTTCTAGCAACACAAATGGACTAAGACAGAAAATTGTTCCAACAGAGAACAAAAGCAAATTTCAAAAATGCTAGTATGGAATGAAGTTAACAATTCCCCATCAGACCTGTCAAAGAATTTATTCTCCAAAGCCTTCTTCCATTCTATGAGAACTGCTCTCCTCTAAGCCTTTTATACACATTTCTATTATAGTCTTACCATGTGATATTGAATCTGTTTGCATATCCATCTTTCCCATTAGACTGAGTTCTCTATGCATAAAATCTAGCTTTATTCCAATTTGTAACTTATAACTAAGCTCTGCACATGATACATGGTAAGCAATTCATATTTTTTGGAAATAAATGGCAAGAAGGATAAATAGTTGAGAAAATCTGAGTGAATAAAACTCAATGCTGGATAAAGTAAAAGAAGAAGACTTCATATATGCTGTGTCTTTAACAGGATTCTGAAAAATTAGCATCACTTGCAAACATGAGAGGAGGAAGCAAGGGTGGTTCAGGATAAGTAGACAGGTGCTGCTGGAGAATCTGCTGGCTCAAAGGGCTTTTGTTGAATAGGGCAAGTTTTTCTGATTAGAGAGCTGGTAGAGATGCTAGACAGAAGAGTTCCTGTAACCAGGAAAGAGCCAT